CTGGCTCCAATGGTACACGCGAGAATTTTTAATCTAGGAATTGTTATCGATTTTAGGGGTGCTACCTTGGATTTAGCCTGTAAGAGTTGACAGTTAACTATTCCCCCTTTAACATTTCTGATAAAAATTGAAGCCGCGTAAGCCGATTTGCTCGCGTCTACGAAGACATGCAGAGTAGAATTTTCATCTAGATCAGGTGTTTTTCTAGGGATTTCTATTTCTTTCAGATATTTTAATTCATTAGCCCACTTTAGAAATTTATTCCTAAGATTATCCGGAAGTCCTGTATCCCAATTAATTTTCTCCTTCCAACATTCCTGCAAGATTAATTTAGGAACTAGTGTGACAGGACTTGTAAACCCAATAGGGTCAAAAATTCGGCTTAACATAGATAATACATTTCGTTTACTCGGAATGGGTTGATTTNATTATCCGGAAGTCCTGTATCCCAATTAATTTTCTCCTTCCAACATTCCTGCAAGATTAATTTAGGAACTAGTGTGACTGGACTTGTAAACCCAATAGGGTCAAAATTTCGGCTTAACAGAGATAATACATTTCGTTTACTCGGAATGGGTTCATTTTCCTCATTTATCTCACAAGATAAAGTATCCCCGTATAAATTCCATTTAAGGCCCAATACTGAAACGATTTCTTTATAGTTATCTCCAGACAAGTTCAAAATTGAGGTTTCCTCATCACTATCTGGCCGATTATGTTTCCAATCCCTTAGGTCGAATTGTGCTGAAGCCATTAATTCTTTAGACACCGTAATGAAAGAATTTAACTCTTCAATAGTGTTCACACTTGCAACACAATTGTCTACATGCATGGAATCTTTAAGTTTTAAAGCTATGTCTCTCTTGGTTTCATCTACATTCTCTAAATGATAATTTATAGTCGCGGCGAGTAAAAATGGGCTTGCATTTACGCCGAAAACTACACGGCAATGTGAATAAACAATAAGTTTCCCTGGATCACCTCCCTCCCACCATAGGAATCGCAGAAATTTCTTGTCTGAGGGAGCAACGTTTATTTGTTGGAAAGCTCGACGAATGTCCGATATTACCCCAAATTTCCCCTGACGAAATCTGTTAATGAGCTTAGGGATCAGTTCTAAATTATTCGGCCCTTTCTCAACGCAATCGTTCAGCGACACAGAATTTCTTTCCTTAGCAGACGCATCAAAAACCGGTTGGCTTTTAGTTGTGGAGTTCTCTTTAAATACTGGTCTATGCGGTAAATAATGACCTTTATCTTTTATCAGTTCCTCTGAATCAACGGGTTCAATAATTTTTTCGGCTACCCAATCTCTGAAGACGTTTTCATATTCATGTAAACAGTTTCGTTTTTGTAACGCCTTTACGCAAGACTTTAACCGCTTTTCGGCAAGGTTTTGATTGTCCGGTAATTCAGGATGAACCTCCAACCAGGGGAGAGACACTTCATATCTACCTTCTTCATCCCTTCTTAACGACCGAACAAAATGATCTTTCGCGGCTCCCTCAATTTCTGATCTCGTTTGAGAAATATTCGGTTCCGTAATTCCCAGAGAATCAAGTGACCATAAGTCACAAATATTTAAGTCAGTAACATGAAGTGATAAAAGCACTTCATTCGTTATAGAACTTTCTCCAGTTCTTCCCATTAAGGTCTGTGGCGTAACTACCACTACAAATGTTAAATAACAAATCACTAGTATATAAGACATGTTAACTTGAATCCATCATGAGGTTGTGGCGTAACTACCACTACAAATGTTAAATAACAAATCACTAGTATATAAGACATGTTAACTTGAATCCATCAGGCCCAACCGAAATGCGTATTCATCGCGACA